CTCGGGTGCCGAGGGGAGCAGAGCAGCCTGCGGGAGCCGTGGGGCTGGGGCAGAGCGAGCGGGAAGCTGCAGCCCAGCGCGGTGCGGGCAAGAGAGACTCACCGTCCGTCCGCCAGGCGAGGAGCAGTGCCATGCACAGTGCCAGGGCTGCGGTGGAGGGGGCCATGCCGGCTCAGCATCCTCCGTGGGCGCTGGGCTGGGCGAGCAGGGTGCTGAGCTCTGCTCTGGCTGGTTGCCGAACGCTTGTTTTTCCCCCGGAGGCTGGCTCAGTGACGTCTCGGAGGCGTTAGCGCAGTGGGAGGAAAGTAGCTGTGTAGTGACTTCCACTTTTCTTTACTGTCCGCCCACTCACCCACTACTGATCTGTTGGCCCAGGCTGGGCATTTCCTACAAGCAGCCTTTAGGAAGAGCTCAGGGGGCTTTTCCGAACAAAAAGGTACAGTGCTGAGAAAGGGAAAATAGGAGTAAAGCACGTGGCTGCCTTTGCTGCTTCGTTATCAAATGAGATGTTAACAGCACAGCACAGGGAGCAAGTGGAGCACCTAGGATGACCATCACCGGGATTTTACTGAGCACAGCACTGGCCCAGCGGTGTCCCCTTGGGCCAATGTCCTCTCCTGACAGCGGCTGAAGCCAGACAGGTCATGGCCAGCCCTGGGGAGCCCTGGAGCCCCAGGAGGGGTCTCTTGCTTTCCCTCCCATTGGGCTCAGCCCGTACTCTCCTGCTTCAGTCTGCAGTTCGCCTTTCCCCATTTCTGGGGACGAGTGACAACCCCCGGGCTGTGACGTGTCCTGCAAACACCTATGCGCACGGGTGGCATCGCAAGCGCTGAAGTGGGGTGCGGCGCGGGGGGCTGTAAGCTGTCCCCGGGGCTCTGGCAGCCTGCAGCCTCACGGTGACATCCTGCCTGCCTGGTGATGCTGGCCCCAGGTGACAGGACCTGAGTTACCACCGAGCGGACTGCGAGGCCCCTGCTTTGCCTTCTGGCAGGCTGAATCACAGCAGAGCTTGCTTGAGGGTTTTCCTGGGGCCTGTGCAAACCCAGGGGCCCTCACGTGATGCAGAGCGATTTGTCTCAAGAAGAGGGATTTCCCACGGGGGAATTGCTGGAAAGGACACATAAAAAGAGCAAGAGAAACCGAGAGTGCTCTGGACAGCCTGCGAAGGCTTCAGAGCAGTCCCTGCCTCGGCAGGTATAGAGGCGCAGGACCTCGGGTCCCTTTGCTGCAGCAAAGCGGCTCCTCAAAGAGCCGTCTTAAATACCCAAAGTGGGAGACTTCTGCTTTTCCCCCTGATTCTGAACAGAGCCTGTCCCCTGACTCATCCTTCTTGCTAGAGCCCATGGGCTTCCAGGAACTCGCAGCCTTGCAAATTCATCAGCTGCAGGGTGGCTCCAGGGGGGCCACCGAGCCATCCTCCGGTGCTGGTGGCAGGACCTCAGGCGTGGCACGGTGGCACCCCTGGCTCTCATGGCACCCAGGGGACACACAGGCTTTGCCTCCGTTCCGCCGGCGCCATGGGGAATACGGGCACGGGGCGGTGGTGCTGGGTGCCCGGCAGCGGGGAGAGGCTCTCCCTCGCCGATGGGCATTGCTCTGCCGAGGGCCATCCGTAGGGATGGGCAGGGGAGCGCGGCTCCAGCAGCAGGTCCCCTCCCTGGCTTCACCCCAGCTTGGCATCGTTCTCCCGTCTTTGGGAGACCAGCTGACGTCCTGTCACCCTGCGATCAGCTTGTGAGTCAGATCTGGCAGCCGCTGGATTGAGGAGTCCTGAGATGAAGCACGGCCCGTCCCACACAAAGCCACAGCTTGCGTTTCATGTAAAAGAACGAAAATCAAAAGCAATGGGACCAAAAATGAGGAAGGAGGGAGCCTTGTGGAAAAGGCACTGTGGGGCTGGTCCTGTGGGTAAGGCGGTTCAGAGGCTTGGCAGAAACGGCTGGCAATTTAGGAGAAAATGAAACGGGCTGTGGAGAAATGATGGTTCCAGCGAACGCTCAGGTGGTGAGCGGTGCAGCCACCCCCCGGCGCTCGTGCTGGCACGCAAGCTGCTGCGGGGCCGTGTGTGCCGGGGCAGCACGGCAGGGGGCCCACACGCCGGCCGCCGCCCCGGCCCCCGGGGCGGGGGCC